AATCAAATTTTGACCTCTGTCCGCTCGATCTTTTAAAGAATCCACATACGAGCAAAACTACAAGCTATAACTCCATCAAAAGAAACTGAATAAACCCCTGTCTTTTTCAGCTCAAAAACAAACGCAGAATTACTCACCTTGTCGAAATAAATCGGCGGAAAGTCGAAACCTAAAGTAACACGAAAGCGGAACTGTTGGAAACTGACGATGGAAAGTGAAAGTCAGTAATAAACAATTCCCGTCACATGACCGATACATCCAGAGACACGTAAATCATAATCATAGTCACGCTATTCCACTTACCAATAGCCTGAAGCGAATGTTCTTTTATAATGCAGCTGTGGAATACGGCCAGTAACAATGATGTAGACTGCTCTTTGATTTAAGGAAATTCAAAAGAAACTACGTTGATTTAATGATGTGTAAACTCACTCCCGACAGCTTCAAAATTGTCAGAATTTCTTAATTTGTTACACAGGAAAAAATAACAGATTTCCATTTTTGGATATTTTAGGGTATTTAAAGAATACCCACAAAGATACCAAATTTGGAAGAGTGAGACAAGTCCCAACCAGGGAACTTGGTTGGGAATTCCCTGGTTGCGACTTGTCCGCTCATTTTGCCAAATTTGGGATTATTGTGGGTATTCTTTAAATACCCTAAAAATGATATCCAATACTGGGAATCTGTTATTTTTTCCTGTGTTAATTATCGATATTTTAATTTTAATAGTGCTTTAGTATTTAATCATGAGTAAATTCTGAGCAAATTTACGCCTGAGAGCTTTAGGATTGACAGAACTTTTTAAAACTTTTTTTAAAAACTTGACATTTCAATTATTTATTATCGTAGTACTTTTTTAAAAAAGTATTTAAGAGCGACGGTCAGGAAATATCGACCATTGAGCAGCAAGAGTTGAAAAATCGATTTCCTTCATTTTTTGTCCATAAATAGCTTTTAGGTAGATAAGTAATCTGGTGTAAGTTGTTCTCGCAAAAAGCCTTTTATTTTCGAGAAAAGTAAGAATATCCGTTTTCGTGGTCGGAGTCTCAAAATGGCCGTAGTGTAATATAGTGAAGCGTGACCCGGCAAAATAACTTATTTAACGGGTCCAAGTTTCGTTGATCGTAAAGAGACAAGACGAAATATCTTCCTCTTCCGTCATCCTTAGCGAGTTACCATTGTTAAAGTCATTGTTTTTCGATAAAAAGTGAGTACCAGAATACTAGCGCGTTTGATTTTTTTTTCTTCAAAATACTGTCGGCATCGAAAATGTTACTCTTTCAAGAACTGCGTTGCGTTACTACGGTGATTAATATCTGTGACAGTCATTCTCTTCAAACTTTACGGTTATGTCACGTGCAGTCACGGAACAGATTGTCACGCAGAGTCGCCGGCTGGTAACCTGAGATCAGGCGTAATTTTATTTTTTTTGCTTCTTTGCTTCGTTGGCTCCTCCCGAAAGCAGATTACAGAAATAAAGAGAGAGGGCATGATCGCAAGACTACCGGCTGGTAGCGTTCAGCGTTTCAAAATGGCTAAAATTGACCCAGTTTCACCTTTGTACCTACCCTGGGTTCCAGAGGATATTTTTTCCTTATCGATACTGATGGTTCGCGGCGAAGTCAAATCGGAAGCCTTATCAAACCGTAAGCACGGTTTATTTCATATTAGGTATTTTGAGAACGGACCTCTGGAGCCAGGGTACTTTGTATCCCACTCTTTGATTGGAAAAAGCAACTTTGCAATGGGAAAAACCCACAAGAAGTACGAAAAACGAATTTAGACTGTAAATATCTACTTTTGTGCGTTTCGAAATTGGAAGTGTTTACACAATTACTGCCGGCCTACCATGAAAATCCCTGAACTTCGATGGTGTCTTACAAAGATTTTCTTCGATAACCCAAGCCAATTCCCAGGTATGTTTTAAATGAATGTCTTAATGTGTGATTTAAATAGCATGAAGAGAATTAGCCTGTGAACAGGCTCTCTGTTTGGGGAAAGGGTGAAAAAATCGCGAGGAGATTCCCTCTCCTCGAGATTTTTCCACCCCTTCCCAAAACAGAGAGCCTGTTCACAGGCTAGAAGAGAATTTGGAGTTATACCACGTGTTAAATATTGCCGTCGAAAATGAGAAACGAACTTAAGTTTTTGTTATCCTAAAAAGCTATCCCACATTTTTTAATTATCTCAGTACGACGAGCCTCGCTATTGTCCTGAAAGTATCTTAACAATTTTTCTGTTCATGGAAAGTGTCCAAATTTTTCCATGCAGCTTCGTCTGCGAACACGAGGAAAGTAGGAAAGTTGATGTTAGCGAATAACCTGAACTATTCTAATTTTTCTCACAAATAAAAGGCTTTCGGCAGGAACAATCTACATTAGATTTCTTATCTACCTAAAAGCTATCTATGAACAAAAAATGAAAGAAACTGATTTTTCAACTGTTGCCGCGAAATAAAGATTTTGGTTGATTTTTCCTGACCGTCTCTCTTACGAATGTAGATTATGGGATCTTCTTATTTGTTTAATTCTTTTTTAAGTTTGGCAAATTTCGCGCTCTTTTTTTCTTCAGCCTGGTTTTCACTAGCGCATAAGCACAAGCACATGTGTAAGCAAGTGAAAACTGGGTCGACATAAGCATAAGCATAAGCACAAGAAAAACGGACAGTTCGTTCAGGTTAAGGACGTTGACACATTAGGGGTGGTGAATGGTACCTCGAAAAACGTGGGTCTCGGAAAATTTTGTCAGGATCTGGAAATCTCGGAAGCGTTTATGATAAGTCTCGAAGTGTCGTTTTTTCATGGTTTGTTCTTACTTTTTGGAGTCTCGAAACTTTTTACCAAAGAGTCTCGGGCTCGGATTTCTAACTAGGATCTCGGCGTCTCGGCAAGTCTCGGATTTTACCATTCACCACCCCTCACATTGTGATTCATACACAAAGTAATACTCTACAACGGAAGGACCCGGTAGCATGACTGTAAAAATAGGAAGGGGATAAGACAACCTCGTACAATGTGAGTCCATCCGGGATTTTTTTTTAACAGACATAGGTCTTCTTTCAATACCGAGATTTGATTGACGGGTAGCCACCCGTGTTCCAGAAATATAGCCGCAAAGTTCTAGCCTTAAAGGGAGCAGCTAGTATCATAATACTCGTACAAATCTCATCGAATAATCGTGCATTACAACTTCCCCAAACAGACACATAGCATATTGGCTTAGTGTTGATTTAAAGTACTCTACTAGTCCACCTATGCCATAAGAAGGCATTTGTGGAAATATGGTAACCCTATGCAGGATGGAAGAGGGATCGACCACAAGGGAAAGTCGATGATATGATAATTATTCGAAAAGTGGGGGGAGAACCACATGAACACTAAATTTACTGATAAGTAGACTCTCTTGATAAAAACTGAAAAGATTTATCCTAGTCAGTACGTATATCTGGTAAAAACGTCCATAAACTTCAAAGCTTACCGGGAAATTTCCTCGAAGATGATTACCGTATTTTAGAGATCAAAGTTGCGGGAAACTTGTCTTTCTCACGATATTAATATTTTTGCTGCCTGTCTTCTGGCCAGTGTTCATACACTGAAGGGGCTGTTTACATGGAGGGAGGAAGATGTACAAGGAAGATCCTAGAGGGTGGAATAACTTTTCTTTGGGTTTACATACAGAAATCTTGGTAGAATTTTGATCCTTGAGGTTACCAAGTAGAGAATGAAGCAAACGTGGTGGGCGACAATCATGAAAATGCAATTTGGGCCCTTCGGCTCTCAAACTGGCGACCTCTCAGCGAGGAAGATCCTAGCGATGCTGGCAGGTGCAACCCTTTCCATGTAAACCGAATACAGAAAACATTTGGCGCTAGCCGTGTTCCGCCTTCTAAGATCTTCCTCCCTCTATTTAAAAGGAGTATTAAAGATTTCTGTTGATCATGGCAGTGGCGGATCCAAGCTAGGTTACCCTCCCTAAATATATCTGTCATTCTTCGCTGGTTTGTCACTGTGGTTTTGCCTTTATAAGATCTTTTTTATATTTCAGCAATAGCTTGCTTACCATACTATTTCTTTACATATTTGTCAACATAATAGTAAATCTACGTAATGATTGTTCTTTGTTTTCATTTTCATAACGTAAAACGTATTTCTAATTTATACGCCAATCGCTTGCACGTGGCAGTGACCAATAGACCTCTTTAGCTTGTATGTTTTGTTTTCCCAATAGAGGTCCCAGGAGGACTTGGCCTTTGCCTTTTCATAAATTACATATGTACATATGTACATATGCACCTGTATAAGACGAAATTTGAAAGGAACAGTTCTCTGGAGTATTATCACATGACCTGTATTGGGAAAACAAAACTTACCAGCCAGGTAAATATACCAGCTAACTATACCGCGCAGTTTTAATTCATTATCATGAAAATTGAAGTAAATTTTCATATTGTCATATGTGAATGGTTACGGCATACCTCAGTCTGATAAACGTGTTTTAGTACAAAGAAAAACTAATCTAAATTTAAATCCAAGTTTAGCGCATTTAGTGCCCAGTCATTTAAGAGACACTAAAGCACCCTTGTGCTCAATAGATTTCTTCAGCTGGTGGTTTGTTTCACAATGAAGGTCTTAGGCTGTGTTCACACGTGCGCCGGCACGAAAAAGTGGAGAGTCACATATCGGATAGGTGTTCGTACTATGCTGGATAGCTTTTAGCTTCGGCAACGAAAAGTTGTCCGCTATAGAGTGTTAATAAACGTAGTCTTAGAGGGATTTACCTTTGTTGTTTCATGAATTATGCGTGCATATATGCACGTGAAAAAGACGTAATAAAAAGAACAGTTCTCAAGAGTATTATCACATGACCAACATTAGGAAAACAAAACATACAAGCTAAAGAGGTCTATTCAATTCACTTTTTCTTTACACTGCGCAATTGTTCTATCAGCTTTTAGATATCTCTTCTCCTTTGACTTGCTTTTCAAGAAGACCATGTACCTTGTATTTCTCATTCGAAATTTCGCCAAGTTTTTCTAAATCTTGCATAATTTTTTTCACGATGTTAGAGCAAGTAAGTTCTTGTTTGTCTAGGTTACGAAGGATGACTTCGCTCTCGTCTTTACTACTTTTACTGGCCAGCTTTGCTAATTCTCTCTGTCTGTCATGAAACAAATCTTCAAAGTTTCTAAAGTTTACTAAGAAATTATTCCTCAGTCGTCGAAAAGATGCGAAAGCATCGTCTAGTTCACTATGAATTGCTTCTTTATCGCTACCACTTGCGTCAGCTGCTGATGTTGTTTTGCTTATTGTTTCACTTAATACAACGTCTTCACTGTCCAAATCTTGCTGCACAGGAACGTCCCCATTGCCAGCCCGACTTGTCTGCGGAAAAAAGGACAGATGGATGTATGGCTGTCAAAAAAGTCCAAATACAGCGAGATAGATCAACCAGTGTAGTATGAGCTGGGTTATGGTTTCACAGCCCGCCGGGCAGCCCACCCCTTCCCAATAGTGAGTGCAATTACCTAACGCAATTTTTTGAGACCGTAGGTCTGATGTATGTGATGCTCGATATGCTGTGTATGGTTTTAAGTTTCTTTTTTGGGGGCAAGTTACTGCCCAAGGTTTGTTTCTGTGCGTCCTCGGTACAAACATGGCACTTAACTTGGCGAACATCCGATATATTCGTGCGAGTACTTTTAAATTATTTTACAAATTAACAGTTATTTCAGAAAGATTGTCGGAAAAAGTGCACGCGACAATCCTGAAAGGTATTCTGGGTGGTTTTGAGTTTACTGTTCTTCAAAGAAGTTTGAAAGAATGTCACGAAAGGCCATGGACGAATGTTCGCGAGTGCTAAAGGAAAGCAACAAAAGCATGTTCGACAGCTACAGCGTCAAGAACAGTGTATTGATCACATCCCATTTTACCTTTCGGGATTGTCGCGCGCACATTTTTTCCGACAACCTTTCTCGGAATAGCTGTATACGACGCCGCGAGCTCCAGTTAATGGAAACAGCAGCCCACCGCTATACTCCTACTTTTTTGGGTGCCATTTTGGTGTCTTGCAAAGTTGAATTTCCTTGATCAGTTGACCTGCCAAACCTCCAGGGGGAACTATCAGACGCACGCTCGAAAAAGGCGTCTGTGAAAACTCGTTGCCATTGAATATCATAATGACGCAGCACGTTGTGGCTACTAATTCTACAGCTGTTCCCAACCCCTAACTAAACAGAGTAATCAGTGAGACTGCCTTCGTCATGCGGCCATACTACAATAAAACCTACAATTACCTTACTTGCCAACGCTTGATTTGCAATTTGATCGGTAATTTCTCGATTTCCCTCTGCTTCATCCAGCGGTTTTTCCAACTTCCTTTCTTCTGCATTCAACAAATATTAGCGGAGTTGTTAACAGAGCAGCCTGCGTCGCAGACGTAATTTAACCCAGGGAAGTAACGTCTGCGAAGAAGCGCCGCGGAGATTCTTGTTTTGGGTCCCCAACTGACTCAACGAATTACCGGAAGAGCGTTTCCAATATTCTTTTAACAGACCAATCATGGCGCGTAATAGAACAAGAATTTCGGCGCTGTTTCGCAGACGGTCTTTAACAGAGTTTAGTTTCGTCTGTGGCGCGTGCTGTTAACAGATGAGTCGTCATTTCTATGTACTCTTTATATAAACCACGATTGTTGATAGTTTTCTACCCTGCTTGCAGAGCCTCCTTTCGTCTTCTTCAGTGGAGAAAAAGAACCAAAAGGCTCACGCTCGAAGGCAAATAACTAATTAGCTACCAGTATCCTAACTTACGCCCGCTGTGTCATGCGCACAGCTATTAAGACTGGGCTGGAAATTGTGTGCTAGCAACAAGCAACACAAGCTCAACAAAGATCTTACTCGATTCATGCATGTCTTTCTCGAGTTCGCCAAAATCGGGCAAGTTTTTCCACATTCAGAAACAAAATGAACTGAGGCCGAGGCTTGCATAGCTAGGCAATTTCATAAAAGGCTAGATTTTGTACCTTTAATCATGCACTTTAGCGGGAACTGCCTATTCTAGAGTTATATTTTGCAACCGTTCTGAACATGCGCTAGGCGCATCTTCGTTGGCGGAACCAGGGACAGCTAACTGGGATGAAACACCCACGAGCGAAATCTTCGCAGGAAACGTTTACACGAAGAACCGGAAAACCCTAAGCGTAAATTTTATTTCCACCCCAGCCACTTCGGTAAGAGAAAGCTACAGGAGCTCTTTCTAGTCATCTCGTGAATTTTGCTTGCAATGATTTAAAACCCCGCTTCTCTTCTCAATTAGCTACCCCTGGCATAAGGGGACATAAAATTTCTCGCTATCACCTTTTGCTTCCCAAAATTATTTATTTTTCATAGCATACGGTACCTTTAAAAAATATTCCAGGGAATGAAATAATGGGTTCAAAGCACAATGAAAGTGGGTCAGGCCAGATTCAACCTCTTTTGACTGTCATTATGCCGGGTAAACGTTTCTCTCGATACACTTTTCAATAAAATATTTCACCACGTCAACTACTTTAAAGCGAACAAACCTTCTTAATTTGTTAATGTTCTCTTTCTAGGGAGCATACCAACATTGTTCTGTGGTTATTAAAGGGTTCTCAACAAAATTACAAAGCAGGAGATTTTACTCTTGTTGATTTTAAAAGTGACTAAATTCAGAACGTAGATATGGCATACGGATATTAACACAAACCTGTTCCTGGGAATGCGTCTCCATAAGCTGTGAAGTAAGTGTTTTGAAGATCTTCAACGATGACATCAAGTCTATCCTGAAACAAATATAATATAACATCAAACTGAGCCGAATAGCTGCAGCAAACCTAGTCCAACATTTCGCGACGCAACTACTCAGGTTACCCTACGAAATAACGACTGAGGAACGGCTGCAGAACTTTCATACCGATGACGTGCCACTACCCTGATCTACGTAGTGCTTCTGATTGGTTGAAGTAAATTCCCTCGCGGCAGGACTAATAAGAAGCAGTACCCAGTTCTGGGCCTGTGACACGTCATAAATATGGAATTTCTGTGCTCTTCCTCAGACGTCACTTCGAAAGGAAACTAGTGGTGGCGTTGCGAAATGTCGGCTGGGTTATCAGGTTACAGCAAACCCCCGGCACTAGTAGACTCTGGACGCTTGTCTCCCATGCATACTTTTGGGTGATTTTTGTCACCCAACGTCCCTCCCCAAAGAAGGAGTTTTACCTTTATACTTTCTCTTTTGAGGTGGAGCGTTGGGTCACGAGAAAACAACAGCTGCGTTGAAGACTATGGAGACCGAAGATCTTAACAACGTCCGAACTAGCCTGAGTATTAGGCGTTTCTGGGGGAAAGGGGGAAGAGAGAAGCGAAAAATCCTCTCTCCCTTAGCCCCTTAGGAAGGCCTGATCTAAAATCTCCTCTTCCTCAGCCTCTTAGGAAGGCCTGACACTCAAATTACTTCTTAACAGGAGTCTGCAATGAAAATGCTGCAACGGCGTACGAGAATAGTAAAAGTCGGAGTCGTTATCGACGGGATTCGAACAAATGATCTCCGCGCTGTAGCCACTGAACTATAGTAGTCATGGTGTTTCAAGAGCTCTGCACATATACTGCTTGGATTAGCGATAATTTACTACACCTTATGGACTGTGGACGAGTATATTCAGTACGATAGAAAATGTTCGGAGATTTGAAGTATAGAACGTGGAAATTCTTAGTTGTAATTCTTTCATTTTAAACGACATGAGAGATTGAAAATAAAGAGAAAAGGAAAACGCGAAGGGTTTGAAACGGGTTTGAAATTACACTTACTCTGGGCTGATCGTCTTCAGGAGCTAAGAAACGACGGCATTCGGACGCACACGGGCACCTTCCAATACGTTTTTTGCACAGGCAGACCACGCCCATAACAATACTGCTTATAATGTTGAGCGGTACAGGAACTGGGTGCAAGTAAGTGTATGTTTGAACTGTAATGGCTTTCTTGAAAGACCACTCTTTTAGAGAGTTTTCCTGGAATATAATAAAAACAGTTTTATATTAAATAGGCAGAATATTATAATTGTCACAAGAGCTCACGCAATTGAGAACTGAAAAACGTCGTTTCATAAATGTTTTGAATTCTCCTTTGATGTTTTACTACCCCACAGAGGCAAACACCTCAGTTTCCTTAAAACTTCACCTCCTTATAGTATTAACCCTTAAATCCCCAATTTTAGTATGCAAATTATCCAGACTGATCTCAATGCATTTCCTTAAAGAATTGGTTGAGAGAATTCAAAACATGATCAAAGCGTTTTCCGGCATTGGTGACCATTTCATTCATTCTTATAACCTTTTCTCTCATTAATGTATCATTCGTGGCCTAAAAAGGCTCGCCCCACTCGCCAAGAGGTCGACTTGTAGCAAGTCTAATGTCAAGTGTAAATGGCCTATTTTAATACGGAAAACATGATATATAACAAATTCTCTTCAACAGTACAGGAAAAGAGTATACTAAACAGTATGGAGATTGGGCGTTTTGACGCACGTCAACCGGAAGTGGAAGCGGCACTCTTCAGCCTTGATCGTCTATAAAAGAGTAAAAACACTTAGCAATACAAATTTGGTAGCTTCAAGACATATTAAAAGAGAAAAAGGCTCCCTTCCGGTTGATTTGCGTCGCTCAAAAACGTCGCTGCCCAAAATCCCTTAATATAATAGCATTGATACTGATTCCCTGACTAGTACCACCATGCATGCTAGTGAAGTTTAAAATCAGTTTTCTTCATTCGGTTCTTAACTCCCCCTCATCTCCCTATCATCACTTAGACGGTTTGGTGTTTGATCTTTGGAATATTTGCACTGGAAAATCGCGCCNTGGCCTAAAAAGGCTCGCCCCACTCGCCAAGAGGTCGACTTGTAGCAAGTCTAATGTCAAGTGTAAATGGCCTATTTTAATACGGAAAACATGATATATAACAAATTCTCTTCAACAGTACAGGAAAAGAGTATACTAAACAGTATGGAGATTGGGCGTTTTGACGCACGTCAACCGGAAGTGGAAGCGGCACTCTTCAGCCTTGATCGTCTATAAAAGAGTAAAAACACTTAGCAATACAAATTTGGTAGCTTCAAGACATATTAAAAGAGAAAAAGGCTCCCTTCCGGTTGATTTGCGTCGCTCAAAAACGTCGCTGCCCAAAATCCCTTAATATAATAGCATTGATACTGATTCCCTGACTAGTACCACCATGCATGCTAGTGAAGTTTAAAATCAGTTTTCTTCATTCGGTTCTTAACTCCCCCTCATCTCCCTATCATCACTTAGACGGTTTGGTGTTTGATCTTTGGAATATTTGCACTGGAAAATCGCGCCATATAGGT